TACATACTTCTTCTATGGACTACAATTTCCGTTGCACGCTCCTTCGAGTTGTGTCCCAGTTAATCTTTGGTTGTGAAAGTGATTTACCCCTGTACACAATCTACCTTCAGTAACCGCGCGGTTTATCGATACATTTCCTTCCGGAAATAAACTATAATCAATACTCAGCCGTACCCGGCACATTTAGTATGTAAAGTCTGGGTTTGATGAGATTTACCGAAAAGTATTCCTTACACAGTATTTGCATTCTTTCGATTCATTTCAATGAGGAACCGATTTGTGTGCCCTATGGCGCAAGCTGTGTTATAGCTGATTATTCAATCTTGACTTTTACCGCCATCCGTCTTGATACGGTAGCTTTAAACACTGTTCCGAAAGGGAGGGTCGTAGGTTCCGGTCTCTCCAGACAGATGAACTGGGCGCTGCTATCCAGTCCCGAAAAACAAGATGGCCTTCCAGCGTTTTCCGTACCCGTGTTGGCCACCTAACCGGGTGTGACGATGATGTACTCCTTCAAAATTGTTTTTCTTCCTAACGCTGTCCCCCAAATATTGTTTATTTTCATAACCCCTTGTAGTATGATAGAACGCCAGGGAGAAGCCTGAAAATTCCGGCTTTATTCGTTGGGAATGTAGACGAGAGCTGCAAGTATAAAGAACGGAAAGTGTATTGGCAACGATAAATACGGAGAGAAAGAATACCACGTTCTACCTTACCGAAATTTTGAAGAGTGTACGTACCAAACGTGGATTATGTTGATGGCAGAAACAGTGTATGACAACAGTTGCTGGACATGATTGCCTCGTGTGTATTAAAGTTTCACGGAAGTAAAAGAGCTAATGTTTAGGCTCCTCGGTTTCTGAGGCAATATGGACGCACGCGCTGTTGACGGGTCCCACTTTCGCTCCTTGTAGACGACGTTTCGGTAAAGTTTGGTTGAGAATAGCCTGGAATCGTGTTCCCTTCGTCGCGTAAGCAAGTCTGTTCATCATGTCGGGGTGCAATCGCTTCTTCTGAACCGGCGTTATTCGTGTCATCTTGTTCGAGCGGGTGTTCACCCATGGGGGCCAGTTGTTGGATTGAAACGGTCTCCTCTTTCTCGTTTGATAGTCGGACATGTGCATACTTAGGGTTACACTCCATAAGTTCCACTTGTTTCACAAAAGAGTCGAACTTGATGGATCGGACGTTTTTTCCTTACCAGACAGGATCCGGTGATGACAGCTAGGTAGAGATGGAGAAGCCAGACGAAAACCTTCGATTATGCCTGAAAAACTTGCGGAGTTACTGTTGCAGTACACAGAAGTGATAGAATTGAATGTAAGGCGTCCTGTAGGACAGTCTCCCATTGATCAACGGGGCGGTCGCGTGAGCGTAGGGCGAGAGAAAGGACTCTGCACAGTGTTCCATTCAAGCGTTCAACCTGCCCATTAGCTTGTGGGTGATAGGCTCGTTGTTATTCCCTTGTTGTGAAGAAAATCACGCAGTTCACGGGGAACATCGATCTGAGTGAATGTAGGCTGGCAATCCAAACATCGAAGAGTTGACAGAAGCAGTTAATCACGGTGGAAGAGGTTAAGTCAGAGCATGCAAAAGGGAATGGAAAACGGGAATACTCACCCACTATTGTTAATAGATAGAGTTAGAGGGCACCGGGCCTTTAAAACACTGAGGCGCTCTAAAGATTGGGTTACTTCCACAAGCTGGCCCAGTGGGGGCTGCACAAACCTTGGTTTCAGCTCACAACAAGCATTACAATTTGAAATCATTGACAATTTCGGTCACAGAATAAGGAAGATTTTTGGCACGGACGAAATAGAGCATGTGAGTTATGCCCGGGTGACACAGAGAGTCATGAAGTTGTTTTGAGTTCAGGTTACCAAATGAACTGCTGCGACAAGTACGTGAGAATTTATCGGCTCCCTGGTTGAACTTGCCGGGTCGGTATATAACATCGTAATGAAAGGGTGTAATTTTGAGCCGCCAGCGCTGTATTTTGTCGTTTTTAATTTTCTGATTCATACTACTGTACATGAAGGCGACAGAACGCTGATTTGTGACCATTTTGAAATGGTTACCAAGCAGTAGATGTCGCCATTTTCGCACAGCTTCCACGATAGCATAGGCTTCCTTTTCCACTGATGAATGTTACCTCTCGATGGGAGATAAGGTGCGGGAAAAGAAGACTATTGGTCTTCCGCTCTGGTTTAAGGTAGCTGATATAGCTACATCAGAAGCATCTGTTTCGATCACTAACGGCACATTAGGGTCGGCATTGATAAGTACGGCGTCTTTCAGTTCCTTCTTTAGATTCTCGAAGGATTTCTAGGCATATGGTGGTGTGGGGAATTCCGTGTTGTGACCGAGTGGGTTGATCTTGTCAGCGAATTGTGGTATCCATTGGGAGTAGTAAGCAAACACCCCTACCACTCTCCGTTAGGCCTTGATGTCACTGAGAGGAGACAGTTCTTGCAAAGGCCTCAGTCGTTCAGGGGCAGACTTAATTATTTCTTTGGAGAGCTCATACTCCAGAAGCTTAACCCGTTGGGCCCCGAACACGCTTTTTGTGTCATTAAAGGTTCTTCCGTACTTGGAAGCAACGTTCAAAAAACGACCCAAATTCTGCCGATGTTCAACAGCATCTTTTCCACAAATGGTGACGTTGTCTATGTAGGCAAACGTACCAGTCAGATTTCCTTTGGAGATAATTTCATCAATGGTTCTTTGGAAGCAAGAGCCATCATTAGTTACTCCGAAAGATATGCGACCAAGTTAGTAGAGTTTGCCACAGGCTTCAAAAGTCGTGTACAATCGTTCCTCCGCTTTGGTGTGCATTTGGTTGTAAGTACTCTTTAGATCCTAACTACTGAATGTATCAAACGTAGCGATCTTCTGGACAATTTCGTCCAGTTTAGGAAGAGGATATGGTTGAGGTGTGTGAACCGGTTTATTGTCTGACTGTAAGCTATGATTATTCGTCGTTTGTGCCTTTCGTTAGTAGTGACTAGCACCTGGGCTCCCATGGAGAAAAGGATGGCTCGATAATGCTTTCTTGTGGGAGACGATTTATTTCGGAACGAATGAGACTATCGTCGGTGGGACTTTGCGGTCTGGACTTCGTCGCTATGGATTTGCACTCCGGTGCAAGGTTACGGAAGAGTAATTGGGCTTCAACTTTTGCGCTAGTGAGGCTGCAGACAGACAGAGGTTTCTTGCCACCGAACGGAATCTCTAATTTCTCATGTAATTGAAGAAAATCGTGCCCGAGCAAGACATCTGAGCACAAATTCTGTAACACGGAAAGTCTAACGTTGTGGTACACGTCTCCTTTGTATGTGACTGTTACATTGCAATGCCCCGCGGTACACATCTGCACTTGAGTTGAAGCCATAGATACGCGCGTGCGCGACGGAGTAAGCTTCTATTTCGCCTTGTGAGCAACAGTAGCAGAGACGTAGCTTTCGAAACTGCCAGTACCAATCAGCGCCTCCAGTTCAGAACCGTTAATCTGTATCCTGGTGATAGCTCGCACTAAGCAACCGGGGGCAACTGCGATCGTAGAGTAAGAAATTAGTGAAGTTGCCTGCGAAGTATTCTTCGTGAATGGATTTGACAAACAAGCTTTCTTGAAATGTCCCTTCTTACCACAGTTCATGCAGACTGTCTCACAAGCCGGACAATACCCGCGGATGTCGAGTGAAACCACAAAAGTAGCGCTTTTCGTTCAATGCAACGGCAATGTATAGTGATGGTGATGATGGAGGCGAAGATGAAGATTTGGCAATCAAGTGAGGTGACTCGGGTTTGTTGGACATTTATGCGCATGGTGGGGGAAACATGGTATTATGGTAACACTGTATGTGCTGGTGTGCCATTTTCAGGTACCTCGCTAAAGCAAATGCAGTTTGAAAGCTTAACGCGCCGTGTTCCAATAAGCGCTGTCGAATCTGAGAGAGTAATCCAGTAATAAAGGCGTCGCGCATGGCACCATCACGATTTCCCTCCGCACTGACTGCCTTGAAGTTGCAGTCCTTAGCAACGATTTTGAGTTTCTGACCAAACTGGTCTAAGTTAGCTTCGCTGTTTTGTTTGCTAGTAGCTAAAATGTGGTGCGCGAAAACTTCATTCTTAGGCTTGATATAAAGGCTCTCCAGTTTGTGTATGGCTTCGTCGAAGCTGACACTTTCATTAATATATTCGAAGACTAATAGGGCTATGTGGTGCACCAGGATTTTTCGCTTATCATGATTGTGTTTCAATAGACTTCAAAAATTACAAAAGGTATAGTACCAGTGAGTCCACTGCCTTTGTGCATCCGGAACATTGGGATCAACCTCGAATTGGTCTGGTCTGAGAAAACGGTCCATGGAGATTCTTTCACAGACGAATAAATTATAGTATGATAGAGCGCCAGAGAGAGACCAACGACCTGGAAATTCAGGCTCTCTTCGTCTGACTGTAGACGAGAGCTGAAAGTATAAAGAACGGAGAAAGTGTATTGGCAACGATAAACATGGAGAGGAATAATACCGCACCCCTCTCATTTCAGTTCAGGTTGACAATTGTGGTCCGGGCGCGGGAGTGCGGTGGATTTATTTGCAACGACTCATTTCGCCAGGTCAACCACAAAAATTAGTAATGATTAAAAACTAAGGTGTAACTCAAAGTACACAGAATGGAGGGTCGAGGAGCAAAGGAACAAAATTAGTCAGTATGGAGTGTTAACAACTAAGTGTAAAAAACCGAAAACAGGAATGTCACTGACTGTGCGACTTCACCATGTAAGGTAGAATCTCGCAAGTGGTCACAGTCTCCATATCCACCACACTTACTCTCGAACCCTTGTTGATCGCCAGTTTTTTACTCGTAATCCTGATCATTTCTGATCAGCTCATTCCTAACCTCATCTTTTAGAGAGTAGCCTCATGTCCTCATTCAAGGTTCCTTAGTGTATTTTGTAGTGTAGATTTCTATTGCCCACTTCTTTGTTTATATTTTAGCCTTGTCTCTGACATTACAGCCACTTTATGGCAAGGCGAAGTCAGCGTCTTCGTCAAAAGTCAAGTGAGATATGTGCCTCACGCAACTCGCCTAACATTGTGGTGTCGCCGTATTTCTTGGAAAGCCGTTCAAAAGAAAGTGGAAATTGGGAAAGTCATCAACCTCTGTGTAAGTTTGCGCAAGGCAGTTTGAATAGCCCCCATCTGATTACTGCAAAGAAACTGGGAGCTGGGGTTGCCAAAGTATGCTCTTCTGGGGAAAACTGCCGGTCTCTTTTGCAAGACAGAATATGTCCTAATTATACTGTAGGAAGACCTTTAGGCCTACTGAGTGGATCCCGTGATGTATCTCCGGATGCGAACGTGTCGGATACGGCAAGCAACTCGAATGAGGTTACCTCCGAAACCGCTTTCGTCGCTAAGGCGGTAAATGTTTCACACCATCGAAGGGTACACTCTTCGCTCGTGAAATCGGAATCCCGTACGTACTCTAAACGGCTGCGACGACGACCACCTGAATTGAGGGAGCTCGAAAGTTCAAAGCCTCTGAAGCGATTTTCACGCAGCACTTTGGCGCCTTCAGAGAACAACATATCTACATCTTGCGAAACATCAAGTGTTCATCATTCCGACAAGTCTGATGATTGGAAACCCATCAGTTCATCATCAGGCGAAACAGCCGGGAGTTCGGATGACTTTGAGCCTGTGAAAACTTTTAGGACTCACCCATCTACAAGTCAGAAAAAGCCCCGGAGGACTGTAGCCAAAAGAAACGTCTCGCGTAATGTCCGCTCAAAAGTCTCCAACGAACTTAAGTTCGATGGGGAATCGGACAATGCTGACGACTGGGAAGATGTTGAAGATGGTGAACACTGTGATGTCAAAGAGGTGGATTTTATGCAGTGTTTGCTAAACGCGGAGATGCGGAAGGAAAACGTAGAGGATTCTCATCTGAGCAGCAAAGTTCTCACAGTTTCTGTTCCAAACAAATCACTTTCTGACAGGAAAGTAAATAATGATCCTCAGTTACAAGAACGGCGGGAAGCATTGCGCCGTCTCAGAGAAACCTTCAGGACCGTGCACCATGTTCATATTTTGTGTTTTCTTGCTCACGTTCGCTTCCTAAACAGTTTATGTGACAACCCACTCTACAGGTCTCTTGGCTTGTCTCTTCTCTCTACTACACAACCAGTGCTACATAGTAATTCGGAGTTTATCGATATCGCCTCGTGGGATCTAGAACATTTGCGAGCGTGTGTGTCATCTATACTCTCCCTCAAAGGTTCTGCTACCGATGCAACTGGTCTCACGTTACTTCACCGTGTCGCCAACTATCATGTCTCTGCTACTGATTGCGTTATTCTTCTCGTGAGTGCCTTAAGAGCGTTAGGCTTCGATGTGCGCTTAATTGTTGGTTTGACACCGTTACCCATGAACCCTACTGCGACTGCCGCAAACACTTTACGAACATCAGTCTGTAACAACCACACCAAGAAAGGCAACCGAAAAATCGTCTCTAGCTCTTCGGATGAGGGTGGCCATTCCCTGTATTCACTTGACTCGTCCACTCCCACTATACATACGTTTTTTGAGGTGTACTTACTTAGTAGGCAGCGTTGGGTGCCTGTCCAACTCTCCTCTTTTGAGAATTCGGTGGATCTGATAGCAGACATCCCACCGAAACTATATGTTATTGGAGCAACTGCTATTCGTTTATGTGACGTTGCCAATCTCCCATATGTTGGTCGTAATCCAGTTGACTTGACTGCCCGTTATGATCCTGAATGGTGCGTCAAATCCCGCGCGCACCGTCTTCCAGAAACTAAATGGAACCAGATTTTACAATACCAACGGCATCTATTCGACCTGCTTGCTGCAAGGAGTGGAACTCTAGTGGCCAAAACTGAGAATCTTGCCACACGTCGTCGAGACAGCGTCGACGAAGATAGTATCCGATCAGGATTACTGCGCAAGCCACTACCCAATCGTGTTCAAGACTTTAAAAACCATCCGCTGTATGTTTTGCCTCGGCATCTGCTCAAATTCGAGGTTATTTACCCATCGGATGCAACTCCCGTTGGATTCTTTCGTAACGAACCTGTCTATAATCGGGAATATGTACATGTGTGTTCTACCCGGGAGACGTGGTTAAAAGAGGCGAAAGTGAGTTGCTATTACTATATCATTCCATATTATGACCACTCCGTAGTATCTTAACTGTGTTTTGATTTCTGTTTTCCGTAGTACGTGCTAGTGGCGCGTTTTCCTCTCTTATGATCGAGTCGCCCAACGCCGCTGTGCTCGCAGGTGATACTTCGTCATCACGTCGTCCAACCTTTTTTAATGTCAAAAAACATCAGCTTTTGTAGCTAATTGGCTGTACACCGGCTGGGGAACTGCATAACTGTCAACACTCAAGCAGGAGCTGGGACTCGGATCCAAGGCATAAACACTGCAAGGTCGCGGAATTTAGGTTCCAGTCCATTTATCTACAGTGTTGATCAATCTTAAATTTCCAGCTTCTTTTTCCTTCACTAGTACCCTTACTTCAGTTCAATTACAGTAAGTTGAACTCAGAATCCGTGACCATGACTACTATCAGTGTGAATTTTATGAGCCGATCTCCTTCAGTTGTTGTTGTTGTTGTTGTTGTTGTTGTTGTTGCACTCACCAAATATCTGCGTTTTTCTCGAAAGGCACTGCTCAGCTTAGGGATTAGTGTAACGCAAATATTCGCACTCCTTATTGTACATCTTTTCATGGCCCGTAGCCCAAAGGTAACGAGCTTGTCTTGTAATCTGACGGCGCGGGTTCGAGCCTGCGTAGGGGCAGGGCGATTCTCGCAGTATCCTTAGCCCGCGTGCGACCGGTGGTGGTCGCGCGGGAACGAAGAATCAGCATTGCGTACCGGTGTACTGCTGATGCCTGGACCTTTTGTGCTTTCCAAATGCATGATTTCAGTCTCCATGCAAAGCAGCCTATCCAAATACAGCTCATTTTCATTGGTTATGGGACCACTTTCTATTTCGTTATCATCAAGATGGCCTGTTTGTTTCAACAGTGTGATGTGGCGCGAATAATGAACATTGGTTTACCGTAACAGTTTTGATGTTGAACTACTGCAGAAGTTTGATACGATCGACCATACATCCACTGGATCATTTGGCATCGATGCATTAATATACCTAACATGTGTGGGAGGGAGTAAGATTTCTCGAAACCTTGAGGCATTCTGCTTAGTCTATGCAAGCACTTGTCATGTCTATTAGTTCTGCTCAGCATCTGCTGACCATAACTTGCTTGTCATCAACCATTTCTTTTTGAGAAGGCGCAGTACTTATGTATCGTATTTTACCTTGTGAACACTTGATGACCGGGATCATAAGAACGACTCTGTCCTATCTCAATACATCCTAGAGTAATAGTGAACAGATTGTTCTGGGTGGTAATGTTAAATTCTGCACTTTTTCGGTTAACCGATGTGCACTTGCTGGATGGACGTACAGACTTTGAACGCACTCAGTTTTTAAGAGTCTGGCTGATCGCATCACTAGTGAAGGCTGTACAGAAACTAGATCCAACTAATATACTCCAACATGTGCTGTGTGATGGGAATGCGATTTGACCCCTAAATGTTGGCCTTTGACTTCCAACTTATTATATCTACCACTTTATATGCGATTCCGGTTGCATTGATCTCGTCCTCTGCTAGCTGCGAATCCCAGCCAGATCAGACATGAACACCTATGGGCAAAAGCCTTTTGTAGAAACAGCTATCGAAAACGCGTATAAGTTGTGTAAAATCAACGGAAACAGATCCACCCAGGAATGTTCCCTTTCAAAGCAGCAACGTCAGCTACCCTGACTGGTAGTTCAGTTCCGCTGGCCATTGGGAAGGCAGGTACGCACGTCATGTGGTGGACACGAATGATCCTGGAACGACTTCGACTGTACACCATTGACTCAAATTGTTTCCCCACTGAAATATTGATTGGATTTTACTTTCGCCTGGACACAAATGCGGTGAGAAACTTGAGTAATTTCCTAGTGCTATGGCCATCTCCGAGGTTACTCAACGGAACCTGTTTCATCAAACGGACGCATCAGCCGTGCATCTGCACACCCTAGAATGCATCAACAGTACACCGGTACGCGGTACTAACGCTTCTCTGTTGCCGCCGGTCCGTCGCAACGAGACTGGACCTTAACGTGGTGCGACGGTTTGCGTACCTCATTGACCCATTGAGCTATACTGGGTGATGCCTCCGAGCATCTTGAGAGCTACTCCTACCAGGTTGGTCAATGGTGAGAGGTCAGACAAACTCAGTCTCCTGGTCCTCCAGGTTGGGGGTTTGAAATGGGATGGCGTCCATTTCTGTAAAACTAAATCACTGCCACCCCGCTGCCTTGCGGAAAGGCTTTTGAGCCAAAGGCTTTGGATGAGGACCCTAATCGTTGTCCTGTCTAGGTCTGGGCGCCCTGGCAGTATCCCAGCCCACATACAACCATGACATTTTCTTCAAACATAAACTTCATCCTGCATCGGCCGTCGCGCAGATTATCAAGGGTCGCCATATCTGCTGCATACAGCAGGGCGGATAAGCGAAAGCATTCTACTGCTGGCGCCTCCCTTCTTTCTTTTCCACCTTTTTCTCTTACTCCCATCCCGGCCCCCATTACTAACCTTCCTTCTATAATTCCCAGCTTAATTGACAGCAACCGAAGTGCTACTGGAGTAGAACCATCTGCAGTCACCATCCCACAGCACCTATCGGACGCCTATCTGCAAAAGTTCCTTATAAGGCCACGCTGTCCCGTTTCCATGGCGACATTCAACGTCCGCACTCTAAGACAAACAGGTCAGCAGGCTGCACTCGCACGCACCTTGGACACACTGGGTGTTGATGTGTGTTGTGTGTCCGAAACTAGGATTAATGACCCTAACGGGGTTATTGAATTGACTGCACCCGACTTATCCTCTCGTTATTGGTTGCACGCATCCGGAGACGCCGATGCGGCACTCACGGGTCAAGCTGGTGTAGGTATCATTCTCAGCTCCAAGGCTGAGTCATCGTTGGTTGATTGGATTCCGGTGAACAGCCGTTTATGTGCAGCCCGTTTGACGACATCAGCTAAGGTTGATTCGCGAAGTAAAACAAAACGCTGTTTGTTTGTGATTTCTGCTTATGCTCCCACGGACTGCAGTTCTAATGCAGTCAAGGACACTTTCTATCACGAACTGAACACGCTGCTACGCAGTACTACTAGTTCAGATATTATAGTACTTGCAGGGGATATGAACGCACAAGTAGGGCGTCTGAGCTCTTCAGAAGCTCAGCTGGGTGGTAAGTATGGACTTAACGCCGAACAGACTGACAACGGCGAGCGTCTGCTGCAACTATGTGCGGAGCACCAGTTGTTTCTTACTAGCACTGCTTTTAGACACAGTGGGCGCCGAAGTGCCACTTGGCGTCCACCTGTAGCTGGTCAGCGATGGACCCAAATTGACCACATAGCCAAAAGTTACAGGTGGCGCGGTTCCATTCTGGATTGCCGCTCGTACTGGAGTACCTGTGTCGACTCTGACCATGTCTTGGTGCGCTGTCGTTTCTCCGTGAACTTTACCGGAAGGCGCACAAAGCGTCTCCCTCGATTGGCAACGGAGAAATTGTCCCAGCCCTCTGTCAGGCAAGCCTATCAAGAAGCACTTCATAGCGAACTCTCGCTGTCTTGTCCTAATGATACTGAACTTCAGTGGAATAGGATCTCGGCCACTATGCACGACGCAGGAGCATCTGCTTGTGGCACTATCAGTCGTCATCGCACCAGTCACTATATATCAGAGAGGTCCGTGAACCTTTTGGAAGCTAGAAGGCACCTCCCGGCTGGTTCTGAACACAATGTGACAAGACAGGCTATTAGGCGTGAACTAAAGCGGAGCCTACATGCTGACAAGGAAGCCTGATGGACCAGTCGGGCTCAAGAAATGGAGGAGGCAGGAGCAGTAGGCAATTACCGGAAGCTCTTCCAGCTAATGCGCACCACTGGTCCGAGAAAACCAGGCGTCAGTGAGACAATCAGGGACAGCGCGGGTGCGCTGATACACAATAAGGAGCGCCGTATGGCTCGTTGGGCTGAGCACTTTGAACATCAGTTCAGCTGGCCCCCTGCTCCCGGACCTCTTCCTACTCAGGTGATGCAGGACGAGCCATGGACGGTTAGTTTAGAGCCTCCGTCGGAGGCCGAGGTCCGAAACGCGATCACAACCCTCAATCGTTTTCGTGCCGCTGGCCCGGATTCCCTACCACCTGCCCTATTTAAGGATGGAGGTGAGGTCCTCTGCAAAGCACTGACCTCCCTATTCGAACGTATCTGGAACGAAGAGAGTGTGCCGGCTAATTGGAGCGAATCGATTATAGTGGCAATATACAAGAAGGGCAGTCGCACAGACTGTGCGAACCACAAGGGTATTAGCCTAACGCCAGTTGTGACAAAATTACTGGCCTCGATTCTCGTTCGTCGCCTCACTGCAGAACGGGAATCTCGGATTAGAGAAGAGCAGGCCGGTTTTCGCCCAGGACGTGGCTGTATAGACCATATATTTACTTTGCGGCAGGTGCTAGAGCAGCGCCACGCATACCGCAGACCGACAATATCTGTGTTCCTCGATTTCAAGAGTGCGTTCGATTCAGTCGATCGATCGATTCTGTTCGAATTACTTGCGCGAAAAGGTGTTCCCACGAAATATGTGAACATCCTTCGTGCTCTATACTCGAACACTACAGGCCGCGTCAGGGTCTATGGTGCCCTATCGGATAGCTTTTCGACTACAAGTGGCGTTCGACAGGGTTGCCCGATTTCCCCATTTTTGTTCAGTTTCGTCGTGGATTCTATCATGGAGTGTTCCCTTGGGGAATCTCACGATGTAGGTGTTGAAGTGCTGCCTGGTGAACGGTTAGTTGATCTAGATTATGCGGACGATATCGTCTTGCTTTTCGACAACGTTGAGGCGGCACTATCAACCCTGAATAGCCTATCCAGAGTGGTCCCATTACTTGGTATGCACTTCTCACCTTCAAAGTGCAAAGTGTCTCTGCAGGACCACCAGCCACTCGATGACCCCTTGACGCTTGCTAACGAGGAACTCGAGGTGGTTGATCAAT